CCATCACTATTCAGTTTTTTTTTTCAGTACCAACTTACAGCCTATAGCCTTAGCCCTTTTGGCAAATTGACTAGCTGTCAAGTACAATTCTGCAAACAGAGAGCTCATTTCATCATCTATGGCTTCTGCCCACAGTAGAGATTCCCTAGATCTCATCACTTCTTGATAGGAGAATGGATCATCCTCTAGATGGTAAGTGACAAAGTCCTCGCCAAAGTCTTTGGGAACTCTCTATCTCTCGTAGATACTCTAACTGAAACTGATTCAACAGCCAGTTGTGTAGGGTAAGTGTCAGAAGGGCTTGCTTCAGATTCTATAGGAGATTCATAAATCATATCTATAGATCCGGAAACACTCAAGCCATGATCTTTGATAAACTTATTCTCAAAGAATTATGCATCTCTGGATTCTATCACCGCATTTGTAGATAGATCCAAAAATCTATTTGCAACACTGTCTTCTGCACTTCCTAGATATACACAAGTAATGGTTCTAGGTCCACCTTAGGTTTGTTAGGATCTTGTATTCTTACATAAGCAATACATCCCTAAGTCTAAGAGTATCATATCTACAAGAGCGCTTATGCCATATCTCATAAGGAGTCATAGACAACTTAGAGTGCGACAACCTGTTCAGGATGTGATTGGCAGTTAGAACTGCTTCTCCCCAATAGGAGGAAGGCATGCCAGCTGTAAGTAACATAGAGTTTAACATTTCAGTTAATGTCCTATTCTTACGCTCAGCAACACCATTTGATTGGGGTGAGTAAGGAGCAGTGGTTTCAAGTATTATGCCCTCCGAAGTGAAAAATTCCTTGAACCTATCATTGTGTACTCTCCTCCTCTATCACTCCCAAACCTCTTAGTTTTCAAGTTGAGCTGATTTTCTCCTCTTAACTTACAAATCTAGAACCTTTCAAAACTTCATCATTCGATTTCAACAAATAGACATGACAATATCTAGAAAAATCGTCTATGAATGTTATTAAGTACTTTTGACCACCTCTAGTAATATAATTTCTAAAGTCACAAAGGTCAAAATGTATCAGATCAAGAAGTTGTGTGCTTTTAGAAACTGACTTAAAAGGTTTTCTAGTGATCTTAGTTTGTGCACATACTTCACATTTGTCAAATCGAATAAAAGCATTTAATAGAGTATCAAGAGTTTTAGCTAGATGTTGCATTTTCTTGTAGTTCACATGTCCAAGTCTATTATGTAACAACTTTGGATCAATTAAAGTTGAACTCACATGGTTTATCCTCACAGTATCTAAACTCAATCTATACATACCATTAATCATGAATGCGCAACCAAAATAACAAGAGTTAACAAATAAAGTTACTCTACCATTCATAGTTGAGAAAGGCATACAAGCTTTATCAAGCAAAGATATAAATTTTCTTTTAAGTAAAAGTACTACTCTAACTTGTTTTAGAGTTCGTAATTTACTTGAAGAAAGCACCAAATTTGCAGTTCCAACATGAGTAACATCTGTCTCATTACCACTGCAATTTTCCACTGTGTCTTTCACTTCTATGACCTTAGTGAGTAAATTTCTATCATTTGTAGTATGACAGGTAGCACCGTTCTCCAACCACCACTCAAAAGAGACACTGGCCTTTCCATTCTTCATCATTCCAATGAAAGCTTGAGGCTCAGGTTCATTAGTTAACATATTAACCTCATTTTGTGGTGTGTTGTTTTTTTTTTTAACTTATTTGGTAGCTTACACTCTGCTGCCCAGTGATCTCACTTTCCACAGTTATGGCACTTGTCCTTCTTCTTCTTTTGAAGATAGTCTTTTTTGGCCTCTAACTATGAAGAAGATTCACCTTTTGGTGACTTGGACTTCTTCTGAGGTTTATTGGAATGTGAAACTAAGTAGGCAATTAACTTTTATTGTCCTATTTGTTCCAAACTCTTCATAGAATAGTTTTGATCCTAAATATAAATAAACCCCTTTAATTTATCCAGTTCACTTTGTTCTTTCAGTCTTGAAAAAACTCTATTCAGCAGATAGTTTACTCAATGCAAGATCGACAAAAAGATTATCAGACATATCAGATTTATCATCTTTTAACTTGTTCCTTATGTTCTCAAGTTTAATTAACTGAATTCGTATTAAATTTGAATTCAAAGAACTTCTCTGCTATGAGAGCTTTGAAGAGCCCCTCTTGTTTTGGAACTAAGCATTCAAGTGATTTCATATCTTTTTTCATCGTCTTATATTCACTACAAGTCATAGCGAGATGAATATTTAGAGAATTTAGCAAGCAATCCCTACAAAATTATTCATTTTTGTTCCATTGATATTAATCCACAATTTTCAATGGTAAATGCAAGATCATTTAATATATTATGGAATATTTCATGTTCTTCCATGCCAAATTGAACATGTAATTTCCAACCATAAAATTCAATAACATCAAATGATTTCATTTCATAATATCATAGGAATTATTTTTAGGCATTTTAATCAGAGCTAAGAGTTAGAAAGAGTGCACCTTGTAGCTCTCTCAGACTTCGTAAATTAAAGCAAAAGCTCCAACTTTCATCAACTGCTCTATAGACTTGGAATTTGCCAAAACAGACCCCAAAAACAGATCCGGAGCGCCCAAAAACCATATGATGGACTACCCCTATGGCCAGAAACTCACCGGAACATTTTCTGATTTTTAAAATGTCTCATACAGAATATTCCTCAACAAACAGAATATTCCCTCATAATATTCCTTTTCGCAGGAATATTCTTTTTAGCATAAAAGTGTACCTATAACTTCAAAGAGTCATATCTCCTTCGTCCGATCTCCGTTTGAGACGAATGACCACTCAAAACGATCGTCTCGACGAGTAGATCAAAGCCCAATAGGTTTCACTTTCTGAAATTGGCTAAAATTTCCGGGATCTGGACCGAAAGGTTGCGGCTGCAGTATCTTCAAACTCAGATCCTGGAAAATCCTTCCGTCGAATCACGAAAGTGATTTAAAATATAAGTTCCTCTCGTTGAGATCTTCGAATAGACACCTTACTCGCTCAAATCCGACACCCGAAGCTAATACTTTAAGATTGTTGGAGGTTAAGAGTTTGAGAGAGAAGGGTTCAGAAGTGCTTAAAGTATTACACCTTGAGACATCAAAGTTTGAAATGCTCAACAGTGTTACCTCCAGTTTAGGAAACCCTAGATATAATACAAGCTATTGGGCTCCAGCCCATATGGACCCAAATAACCATGCTTTCACCTATTGGGCTTATATGTGAATATACTATTACTGATTATACTATTAATATATCCAACATGGGACACATTCAAGCAATTAAAAAATGCTTATCTTGTACTGATGCTACAGGTTACTCCTATTATAAACATAATGAGGAAATTGAATACAGCTACTTCTGTGATATGCAACTCGCTTCATTATATTAGCATTTGGAATAGAAATTCAAGGAATCACCATAAATTCAAGGAATAGAACAAAATCTACAACTAACATTAAGTCCAATAGCTGTATTTGGATTCTTTTCCACAGCAAAAACTCTGAGCTTCCGCCCTGTTTCTTCAGCTGCCTACATATGAAGATGATAAAAGTCATATTAAAGAAAAGGATATTATCCAAATCTAGAACAAGATTTGCCACATTCTAGAACAATATCACACCTTTAATGATGCCCGCACAAGAGGCCCACGCCCTGCACCAACAACCACTAATACCTAGCCATAGGAACAACAAAATAACCTCTGGATAAAAAATAACAAAAAAATAACAAAAAAAAGCTAAACTAAACGCAAGAAACAAATTTTACCGTGGTAATCATAGATGCCTCTTCATTAGGAACCCTGTCCAGCAATGCTTCACAAATTGCTTTTCGGTACTAACATATAAAAAAAAGCAACTGATTAGATTACAAGTGCACACAGAAGAAACCAAAGCTACACCATACATTACACCAAAATATATGAGAAAAATAAAAATAAAAAATATTCCTGACACATATTGCCATACCTGATTGTATTTCGCTTCGTCTAACTCAAAATTCTCAAAGGACTGCGCCTCTGAATAATTCTTAAGAGGCTGCACAGGTATTGAAAATTTTCAAATCAGTAAAATGGTTGCAGGAACATTGTGCAATAAAAAATGGTTGTTGAAAAAATAAAACAAATACGTTGTCTTTTGCAAATAACTACATTAAATTCTAAATTTTTGTAATTAAATTTTGGAAAAAATACCTTTCTTGCAGTTTTCTCATGTTACATAACAAATATTAAATCCATTTTAAATTTTAATTACTTCTGTTGAGATGTCTATATATATGTTTAATCTGAATCTTTGATTTATTGGTTATTAATATTTTCTTAATTTTTAAATACGTTAAATGACAAAATATTAATTTTTCCCATTTTCTTTCACTTTCCCCCAAAAAAAAATTCTTTTAGAAGATTGTAAATTCTAAAGAACTAAGCACTGACACTTTAAAATTTTTTTGACGTGTCCGACATTTTTGGACACTTCTCGACACTCTAATACTTGTTACAAAAATTCAAAAAAGGTTCAAAGGTTATTGCATTTTGAGTTCCTAATTCTTATTATTAGATTCGTTGGATTACGATTACTATTTTATTGAGTTTAATATAAATATTTGGGATATCTTATATTTCTTTACAAAATTGATAAGTATTATAAATTTAGCTTTATTTTTTTGTTAAATTATTGAGTATTAAATGTATAATATCAAAACGTGTCTTAATATATCAAAATTTAACATTTTTTAAAATTAACGTATCAGAATATCGTGTCGTATTCTATATTACGTGTTGGCGTCGGTGCAACATAACTAAAGTGCTCGTAATATGATATTGCTCACCTCTAATATTAATCCAAAAGTCGAACGGCATCTAATTAAATTGGAAGGAAAAAATTATTAATATATAAATAACAAAAGCCACATTATTAAATTTAAAATATTAATACAATAATCTTGAGTATCTTTTAATTTAAAAAATGATATATATATATATATATATATATATATATATATAGGATTTTATTTCTGTCATTTTATATAAGATAAACAAAATTTTAGTACACACAAAATAGACGTGGATCTCATCTTTATTTATTTTTCTCTCCTCTATTCCACTTAAAATTTCGTTTTTACTATATAAAATAATTATTTTCTTATAATATAAAAAAATATTTTTCAAATAGTCGTTGATCTTTTTTGATCTAATGATCCTCAGATAAAGTGTCAAACTTCAAATTTGACACCGGTGTCAAAGGATCCTACTTCATATATATATATATATATATATATATATATATATATATATATATATATATATATAAACTGTGTACGGGGAGAACAGGTCTTTCCCCTTCATAGCAACAATCCCTTTCAGTGGGACTAGGAGCTTATAGAGTCAAGTAGAGACCGTGCCATATTCAATAAAAGTCTGATGATCCCTAAAACGTCTTGAATTACATAATCATGAGAACTTACACACACACAAATTATAAAACAAATTAAATTCTAACAAAAAATCTACAGGAAAAAAGCACTGCAAAGCAGGACAAAGAATACTTACATTGAATGGTGGATGTAAAAAATCCCTCACGCCAAACTGGCATAAAACACTCAAAGGGTAAATAGGAAGATAATAGCAAATAATGATATTTGACACATGTAGTACTTGATACCTGTAAACGTTCTTCCTCAGAAAGAGGATCCATTCGTTTGTATAGAAAACTAACATAGTCCAGATATGGCTGTAAAGGATGTGCCTTTGATTCTAAAGTGCAAAAAACTCATTAAAAGCAGAAGATTAATAACCCAAAACAAACATGCAGGCACACCAAATCACAACTTTCACAGTACATGCATGCAGGCACAGGCACTTATTATTATAATCAAATCACAACTTTCACAGTACAATGTTGGAATTACCCGTGAAATTTCACATTGGCATATACTAGTTATGACTATTTAAAAATTTATCTTCTGAATTTACAATAAAAAATGAAGAAAACAAGAATAGGAACTTACCTGCCACAGAATGAGTACCAAAAGGATCTTCTACATGTTTCCCAGATATAATGATCTAGACACGTTTCAAAAAACAGTATATTTAGGAGGGCAGAAAATGCTGATCGAATCTAAATCTATTCCTTATGATCAGCTAACCAACAATGCACTATCCTTCAGGGAAAATAAAGGATAAAATGAGGTACTAGAATTGTAAGATTGCAAAGATTGTGTCATGTGGAATTCAATAATTGAGAAATTTTATTTGCACTCACAAACTATTGAGAAAAGGGAATAGTGGTGACCAGAGTTCAGAGTTTGTGAAAAACTTTTTTCTAATGACAGCAATAAATAATTTATTGCTCACCTTATTTCGTCATCAATCACTAAATATTGGCTCATTATTTACTAGGTTACAAGATACAAATAATTTAGAAGTTTACCTGTATAGAATGGTCAAAGAAATCAGTAATCAACTTCTGATGACGCTTTGAGAGGTACTTGCCGTTACCACGATTCTTATTTATAAAGGTCTTGCAGAGATTCAATCAAAATCGTTACTAGTTAGACAAGGATTGGCAGCAACATACTTCATATTTGACAGATGCATTACAAATCACAATGTCCTTACATCTGTATCTAATATTGCTGCAACAACAGGCTCCCCATACCAACGTTTTAGTGAGTTCTCTGAAGGCAGAATTTTGCTGATAACAAGTACAATGTTTATGCTTTAGGAAATTAATAAAGAATTAGTGCCGTTATTGAGAAATCTAAGCAATAAAAATTTAATATCCCAGAAAAAATAATAGTAATTTATAATAATAATAATAATAATAAACTTTAAATTAGTAATAATAATATATATATTTGATGGTGATAAATAACAAATTATAATATAAATTTTACCTTTGATACAATGATTTTGTGCGATATATGTGCGATATGAGTGCTATTGGAAATTTATTTTGATACTTTGTAATATTCCAGATTATTAATAAAAATAATATATAATTTATATTTATAATAATAATAAATTAATAATAATAATAATGAACTTTAAATTAGTAATAATAATATATACTATTTTATTATTAATAATCTAGAGTATTACAAAGTATTAAAATAAATTTTCAATAGCACTCATATCGCACATATATCGCACAAAATCATTTTATCAATTTCCAATAGCACTCATATCGCACATATATCACACAAAATCATTTTACCAAAGGTAAAATTTATATTATAATTTGTTATCTATTACCATCAAAAATATATTATTATTACTAATTTAAAGTTTATTATTATTATTATTATAAATTACTATTATTTTGTTTCTAAGATATTACAAAAAGTCTAGGAACAAAATGCAAGATCAAGGTATAAAGTGTAGTAGATCAAAGGTATAAATTCTGCGGTACTCACAAATTATCAAGTGCAACCGACAATTGGCTATGATGCTCACAGAGCAGACGAAACGAATTCCATATTTTCCAAGAATCATTCTGAAATTAAGGATTAGAAAGGTGACTGAAAATAAACTAAACTAAACTTGATATCATAAATTTTCATGTCTACAAAAAATTTAAATCTTCATGACCCCAGAGTCTACCCCTTAATAATTTGATACTCCTAAGTTATGTTTTATGTGAAAAATTATATTTACAAATTTTTTTGTTTACAAACTTAACTATGTATTTTGAGAAATACAAACACTCTAGTATCTATTTCTCGAAATACATTGTTTAGTTTGTAAACGAAACATTGGTAAATATAACTCTACTAATGTTTTATTATATGAAAATCAACATAAAAATTACATATAAACACCGTATGAATCTCCAGTGTCATGTCATGTTGAATATCAGATCAAAAACTCACTATTCACTAGCTTTGACTTCACAACAGCGAGGGTTATTTCATTTAGAAGACTGTAGTTTCAAGGATATAAGATAGTTAAGTAAAATAGGAATAAGTCCACATTTGAGCAGAAATGTGCATCTGCAAAGAAGAGTGACAGAGAGAGAAGAGTATAGATTCTATATGTGAGCCCACCCCAGCTATACAGACTTAAAATCAAGACCTTCACCGTTTAATTTTAGTCCTTTAACTCACCAAAGTTCTGGAGCTTGCACTAGGGGCATCATCAGGCTTCCCAAATGGAATCCTAAGCCACAACTTTTTTGCAAAGTTACAGATACAGAAGGAAGTATTAGAATGGTGAAATGACATTCAAGGAGGACAAGGAATCAGTCATGAAATTTGAACTTAAGAGTGACACCTGCATGTTCTTTAGGCCTTGTAAGATTTGATGCACACACCTAGCATAGTTAATCCAGGAAGTTCCCTTAGGAGGTGGAAGAACACAAGCCTGCAGCATGCTAAGAAAATTAGAAAAACCGTAGGCATCTCACAACAAATAAAGGATTTTTTTCAGTTGGTGACTAAATGTCAAGGTATGACATAATATCAGGTAATGCAGTTGAGTTAAAAAATAAAAAACACGTATGCATCTCACAACAAATAAAGGATTTTTTTCAGTTGGTGACTACATGTCAAGGTATGACATAATATCAGGTAATGCAGTTGAGTAACAAACATGAAGCAAATTTAAATATAAAACCAAACAGCATGCTCTGACCCAAACAATACACTAGGTAACTCTTATAGGACTTTAAGGAGAGGTGGCAAAGTCTACAACAGCAATTTGTAGATGTTGTAGACTTTAAAGTTCAATATGGATGGGAATAAATCAGGGAGCATCGAGTGAAAGAATATGTATTCACCCAATTTTATCAGTTCTCAACAGGTTCCTTGGATAGTTTGGTAGCTTATACCCAAAATAAATTTCCCAACATCAAAGTCCTAATCAAACAACTTCGGAAATCGAATGCTTTCTGCCGAGGAAATTTAAGATAAAGCTTTCATAATTCAAGCAAAATAAGTAGTGTTTTCAAACTGAACCAATAAACGTGTAAAATTATTGATTCCACTAAGTAATTAAAACAAAAAAGGACAGAAATACAGATTTGAAATTTATCACAATTTAGTTATATGAAAGCACACCTGTAAAGAAAGATAAGAGGCCCATTCTATTTCATGTTTGAGAGCAGTTTCAGAATCCATCCTAAGGGTTTCATTTTCTGAATCCAAGTCTATCCATGAGCTAATTTTTCCTGAATAAATGTAACAAATCATATGAGAAGCTTGACACAGCAGCCAAGTTTGACAAATCATATGAACGAATTGCCCACGGTCAGCCTCAGCCACCAACACATGCACGCGCAAAAAGGAAACGTAGAATAATAAGGGACAAAACTAGCAAATTTTTAACAAAGAAAATTTCCAAATTCACAAAAAATAATTGAAAAGGAAAAATCAATCATTAGAATAATAGGTAAATCATACCCACTACATCATTTTTCCAAACTGTTGGGTCTACAGTGGAGTCGCACCCAGCAAATCGCATAGTCCGCACTGAATTATATCCAGGATGATCTTTAAGTTCAGGATGCCTTAGGAATACGCTTGGACGAAAAGCAGGATGCATCTGAATCGCACCATAAAATCATTTACTAAACAAGAATTAGGAAACAACATATGCAAAAGGATCATTCCTCAGCAAGTTAAGTTATTTTTGAATTATTTATATGACAGACTTCATAAAAAGTTTCACCTGTTGAAAAATACAGTATAAGTAATGAAATGTCTCACTAATGTACGTGGTCCTAACATCTCTTAAGAGTGAAACCATATATTAAAACAGCCTCACAAGAAAAGCTAATTAGCAGCTCTAAGACCTGAAGAAAACACATCGAGCACAGAACCCCAACTCATCATAAAAAAAATGCGAGGCAAATAAAAAAAAAATTATTGAAACAACTGCACGGTTGCTTTAACCAACTAAACTCTAAATTATAAAATTTCAAAATCTCAATGCACTGTATTGATATCATCAGAGTCCAATCCTATCGAATTAATAAAATGAAAGCATTAACACCATTCTTCAAAGATAACCCTAACAAGTTACTTGAGCAATGCAGTCTGAAAGATCATAAAGAATTAAAACTAACAACACTAACAGCAACTCTCATCCTTGTGGACTTCCAGATCAAGAAAATGAATATTCTATTCTATTGTCATCTTCTTAACTAAATCTTGAACTTCTTGCATTTGACGGAACGACCATTGCTGATTGAATATGAAGAAAAAGAGATTGGAATGACGAACCAGAGGAGCAACAATGAGATCAAAGCCTCCATTAATGATATTGAAATCGATGACGTGATGCAAGTCGTTGGTGAACTCCGTCTCTACACCACAAAAACATGACTTACTAGTATCCCCTTCTCTATCTCCGAGAGGCATTTTTGCCAACCTTCACTTGCAGAGTTTCAGTGACCAGAATTCAGAAATGAGAGTAACAAGAACAAATATTGAGAGAAAAAAAAAAAAAAAACAGAGAGTCAAGAAATTTGATGCTAACTAACTTGTTCACTACCCTAAAGAATAAAACTTGTTAACTATCTATCGATTAAGCTAACGAAACAGTTTCAGTGATCAGAATTCAGAAATGAGAGTAACAAGAAAAAATACTGAGAGAAAAAAAAAAAAAAAAGAGTCAAGAAATTTGATGCTAACTAACTTGTTAACTACCCTAAAGAATAAAACTTGTTAAACTACCTATCCATTAAGTAAATGAATTAAAGAAACCTTTATTACGATTAAGGGTTAAAAATATAGATAGACAAAATTATTTAAAAGATAAAAGTAAAAATAAAAATATGATTAGAAAAATATTATAGTCTATTAATTAAAGTTTGGTAATGAATTAGTGCATTGCTGCGCGATGCACGGAAGAAAAAGATCAAAAATTTTGTCGATGATCGTCGTTGATTAATCTCTACAAAAAAAATAAATGTGTCATTATTTTTTCTATATATATATATATATATTAGTGTATTTTCTGCGCGATATGCACGAAGGAAAAAATAATTTGATTTGTCTGTCTCAAAAAAATTAACAAAAAAAAAATGAGAGTAACAAGAAAAAATATTGAGAGAAAAAAAAATGAGTCAAGAAATTTGATGCTAACTAAATTGTTTTTTTTTTTTTTTTTTGATAAAAATGGAGGGCCAAGCCCAAATGCTAACTAAATTGTTAACTACCTAAAGAATAAAACTTGTTAACTACTTATCGATGAAGTAAACGAAACAGTCTCAGTGATCAGAATTCAAAAAATGAGAGCAACAAAAAAAAATATTGAGAGAAAAAAAAAAGAGAGAGTCAAGAAATTTGATACTAACTAACTTGTTAACTACCCTAAAACTAAATATATTGAAAACTCATGAGTAATTTCTTTTTATTCTATTTATTTTTTATCTTAATTTTTTCTTCTAGTTTTTTTGTCTTCAGTATATATATTTTTCGTTTGGACTATTTTCATTTTTTTTTTAATTTTACTTTTTTGTCATTATTGGAATTTTTAATATATTTGATCTTATTTTTTATTCTCTTTTTTTCTTTTTTTCTTTTTCTTTTTTTTTTTATTTTTTATTTTGACACATTTGATTTTTTTTATTATTTTTTTATTTTAGTCTTTTATTAAGTGTTTTAAGTTTTCATAACATTTGATCTTTCTTTTTTTATTACTTTATTTTCTTCTTCTAAGAAAGGTAGAATAGATATAAATTTTCCAACAATATAAAGGAAAGGCGTGGATGGAAAAAATCATGGGAGATTAAATAATTAAAAAAAAACATAGGGATATAACTTGTAAGTGATTCAAAGCAATACCAATTGAGATTTTTGAACTTTTCCAAAAAAAAAAAAAAAAAAAAACACGCTAGAATATAATTTTCTTCCTCCTAATTAAGCTACAGAATTTATGTTCCGGTGTTTGTCATGGTTAACTCCAGTCGCCTTAATCTACAAAGCATTCAGAAGAGGAGAAAAGACCGATGCAGCCTTAAAATAATATTGTTTAAAATTCAAGGAATCAAAGAAGAAATTTTCATTGATAAGGAACCCTTTTTATTAACAGCTACATGTTACTGCAATACTGCTTAAGCACAATAAATATCCATAGAGAACAACCATTTAAAATATTTACATTCATGTTTCACTGAATTGTGTTCAGCATCATTAAAAGGAAATCACAGAAGTCCCCATGCAACATATTATTTCTACTCTTAGTAGCACACTTCAGGAACTTCCCTTTACTCCTACATCAGCATCATAAACATCAGAGGAAGCTTTACCAAATTCACCCTTATTATCACCATCTTGTTCATCAAAAAAATCCTCCCGTGCATTCTCAGCTAACATAAGGGCAATCAACCAAAGAAGAGATGAATCAAGGGATAAAAAGGCACCACCTCCAAGGAGACCAGTTTTAGCTGTAGGGCATTCATAGTTGACATCACTATGAACATTACGTGTCAAGTGAAGCTGTTCAGTGATTGTTGGCCATAACAGCATAGCAACAGCTAATCCAGTAGTAAACCTAAGTGAAGACACCATTTTACAGAAGAAAAATTCATTCGTCAGAGATGAGAATATAGAGATAAAAAAACCAATCTGGCAGTAAATTTAATCAAAACGATAAATTGGTAGGCTCCAATCGAAGGCAGCCTTTCCTATGCACACTTATGGAGTACAAGGTAGTGTCTTTGGTCCACAGTACAAAACTTTTGCAATTTTTTTCCATAGATATCTACATCCAGTAGTTCATTTATTACCATTCTGTAGTGTCCACAAAGTAGATGCATTCTACTTCCAGTAACACATAAGTGTTTTGCATTTTCATTGACCAAATGTAGGCCCATTTTTTCCAAAGTTAAATAAGTATTTTAGATGGTACTTTGAATGAATCACGATAATCAAAGGGGGCAGAAGAATCAAAGCCCTACTATCCATGACACTTGGAAGAAGCATTTTAAATTATCACCGAGCATTGCTCAAATAAATGGGAAAAGCTACAGAGATTGGGATTCAAAATTTTAGAATCTGTTTGATTGTATTCTGATTTTTTTGCTTTCGTAGAATAGTTACGGAAACAAATGTTTTCTGTGCTTTTAAGTTTTGAAAGTTAAAAGTCAAAACACAAAACAAAAATAAGTCAGACATGTTCTCCAAATTTGATTCTAAAACCAAAAAAACAATTACAAATTTTAAAACTTTTTTTTTACAAAACAAGTCTTATCAAACGGGTTTTTTTGTTCTGAAAACCAAAAAACTGTTTTTAAAAACAGTACTGAACAAGGCCTTAATCTCAAACAATGCACTAGAATCAACTCCTATGATATACCTTTGAATCTTCCATTTCCATGAACAAGGACAAATTGCATATTATAATTCACTACCTAAAATATTAATCATAAGCATTGCAAAACAAAGGGTAGGGAAAGAGTACATACAATGCAATGTTGAAGAACACCGTGAAAGTAGTGTGTTTGAACAAAACCCCTTGCGGAACAGCCTTTCCTTTGTAAGGGTAAAACAGAGACAGATACCCAGCCACGGTTGATGCAATAAGAAAAGCTACAGAAAGATACCCCAATGCAACAGTTGGATCAGCTGGGTACTTGCAGATGACACCATCCTTACCAGGTATTGGTGTTCCAGCTGCAGGCTGTAACAACAAAAACATGAAATTGATAGATGTGATATAATCAATTCATTAGATAAATTCGTACATGAAATGCACCATGGTCAACGAATCTAGGTAACGTTGTGTCCAAATATATAATAATTAACAAGCATATACATATAACAATTTTCAAATACATATCTCATACTTTAAATTGGACTAATTTCTAAAGGGATTTATAATTAAAACAGATCCCATAAATTATAACTCAGGATTCCACATGTTTAGATCATATTACCTTCTTGTTTTCAGCAACAACGCCCAAAATGAAAGAGATCACACCAAACAGTGACACAATCAAAGACATTTGTTTCGCAGTGGCAGCCATAGTTCCCTGCAAAAACCGAAATCAAAGAATTTTATATAAACGAAAAGAGGAATAACCGTTTTGTGAAACAAACGAACAATGGAATTCAAAATCACGTGCCTGATTTGTGTAGAACGAACGAGACGGAGGGAGAGGAGAAGGGGTTGTTCCTCTTCCTCCTTTTTTTCTCTCTCTCTTTTTTTTTTTTTTGTTCTCTCTTGGTCTAGCTACTTTCGTTGGTGAGGCACACGCATAAATGAACTATTGGATGAACGAGAAAATCGGGTGTCTTAACTCTTAACCCTTCTTGATGACCGCTGATTCGGCAAAGGGTTAAATGCCAGAGATTTTATACAAAGAAAGAAAGAAAGAAAATCTTGTATATAGACTTGAATTGCGGTTAAATTCATCATTTATTTCTTTTCTTTCTCTCTTATAATTTCCTTTTTATCATTTTTTTCAGAGCTGTCGATTAAGAATAATTAACTATTATTAGAACTCTTATATTATACTTTTGAATATCTATTTTTTATTTTTAGGTTAAAATATATTTTTAATTCTTATACATAAACATTTATTTTTAACTCAGTCATATCAGAAGAATTTTTTTCATTTTTAATTCTTCTGCATGATTTTTCTTAATCTCGTCCCTGTTGATGTTGTAATAATGTAATTTAGATGCTTATTTCAAGATTATTTTAATAATAGCAAACCATTGAGCAAGTTCTAAGGCTAGAGAAAATATCAATATTATTTTCGTAAGACCTAAGTTCTTGTTTTACAAGAGCATGGCATGTGAGCTTAAATTGGTTACTCAAAAGTCTACCTACTAGTCTAAAATCACTTTATTATCGATGGATCAATACAAACTGATTTATACCAAAAAGCAAAATTCAACATGGTATGTCAATGTTTTGAGATTTTGTGGGCCAATTCGTGCTTTGGGAAAGGCCTTTTATAAGAAGGTGTTGTGTGTGTGTGCGACTGTGCGAGCGTGTGGGAAGAGATATTGGAGGAATAGTTTAAAAGATGCCATGGGAGAGGAAGAGGAATTGATGAATATACTGTTACTTTTATTCCAAAAGTTACAGCATAGTGGTCTAATTATTCAACAAAAACCTATCATGTTTAAGGACCAATTGTTCAAAAATAAAATATAAAAAAACAAAGAGATATAATATTCATTTGACAAGTTTATCAACGGAGGAGGAAATGCAAATAAATAACCAGCCAGCTAGCTAATAGGTATAAAAACTAGCGTATTGCATCAGCACAACCAAAGTATTGGACCAAGCTTAGACTTTGCAAAAAAAAATAAACAGTAAACATCATTTTTGGTCCTTTGCAATATCCATGAAATCCATTTTAGTCCTTGACAATAAAAAAAGAACCAAATTGGTCTCTAAAATTACAAAAAAGGGGCCACGTTAGTCCTTCTGTCAACTCCTCCGTCACGGTCAAACTAACGGTGCCCATGTGGCACGTTAGTGTGATGACGGGGCTTGGACAGTTGACACCTTGGATGGGCAAACGACGACGTTTTGTGCACATGGGTTCCCAGCTTTGGAAAGTAGAGCACGACATCGTTTCTTGGTTGATGATGAACCCTAAAAAATAAAATCCCCAAAATGCTGAATCGAACCTTCAACAGAAAAAAACCCCCCGAATTGATGAAGCTAACCCTAAACATGAAATAAGCCCCCAAAATCTGTGGACGTTGATGATTGTTTGTTTCAATATGACTGTCGTGACATTTGTTGGTAGGAAAGAAAACTGAATGATGTATACCTGAAGATGGTGGAGGAGTTAGATAGGATAGACAACCAAATTAGAAATGTTGGTAGGAAAGCTAGGGTCTTAGGTGCTGTTTGTGTTGGTGTGTTTATCTTGTGTATGTTTTTTGTTAGTGTGGTAACAGTCAAAAGAAGTTACCCCAATGTATTTTTCTTTCAATGATGTGTAATGAGTTATCAGTTCTGTTGTTATACCAATTAATGAAGAAGGTTGTATTATATGGAGCATTCTGTGTTGGTTTGAATTTGTTTGTGTATAGTATCATATTTTTGTGTATCAACTACTGCAGTACTAGATGCTAGATTGTATCTGGTTTGAATCTGTTTGTGTATAGTATCATATTTTTGTGTATCAACTACTGCAGTACCGGATGCTAGTTTGCTACATTGTTTCACAAACCATCCATGTACAGATATAGATGCGTAAGCTGATACAGAAGTTCCATATTGTTATGCACATTTGTTAATCATGCCAAAACACGAGGGCCAATTTGGTCCCTGTCAAACTACACGAGGGCCCTTTTAGTCCCTGACAAACAGCTCGAGACCCTTATTAGTCTCTGACCAGAGAAAAATAGGACATGAGGGATTGAAACACTTGCAGTCCGAAATTACAAAAAAAAAGTGCATAACACATGACTTGGAGGTCCAAGAACTACACTTTCATAACTCAGGGTTTAAAAAACATAAAACAGAACAGCTGGAACATAAGAGCTGGAACACTGCATTGCTGGAACATTCATCAACCCTGTATAGGCAGAGAATAATAGGCACATACTTGTATGTTGTTGATGTGCAGTCGAAATCAACAAAACAGACCTGCATTACATCAGATATTGCTTGCTGTCCAGTTTGTTCAAAAAGAATAAATGTAGTACTCAGTTAAAAATACATATGTCAGTTAAATATTTTTGTGCATCACATGCATGTCCAGAATATAGCCAACTGCAACGAATGAAAAGAAATGTCATGACAGTCATATTGAAACAAACAAATGTCATGACAGTAATTACTCCAGGACCATAATGGATGTCATTAGCATTAATAAAAATTTGAAGCCAAAACCTTACTTAAACAAAATCAAATATATATCAGTTGAACCAACCCCATTCATTCTAATCGGTCAATGCCTACTGCGTTGTCATCGATTTGAGTTGGACCCTCCTCTTGAACCTTAGAAAAAACTCCTGAACACGAGGCAGAGCAAGAGCTTCTTCATTGAAGTTCACCCACCAATACCATCATATCATGTCATCTATTTTCCATTATTTCTCAATCAAAGGCCCCCACTCTGTCCTATTTCTACGTCACTCCTGAAAAGTTATAGTTCAAATAAATTACATATCCACCACTTTCAATTATTGGATTTCTCTAGTTTCCTTCATTAATTGTTTCTGAGAATAAACCAAATCAAATATAACATTTGGCAGAACACGTGCTTTGAATTTTCCAGTTGAATGAGAATTTAACTTGTGCATGAAAGATATAGTGGAAGCTCTGGTATCAATTGATATGAGTGGCCTTTATTCCAAACACTAGCTATATTAAGGTAGAAAATTCAGAGTCCATAAAAATCTCAAATCACTTCAAGTCACATGCTTTATAATTGGATCGTAACACAATTCTAATCTCTTAGACATTATTGAAGTATATATAGAACACAACCTCCTACCAGAATGAAACATGTATTGCACCTTCTTTTGTCTCCATTGATAAACGTTGGTACAAAAGTTCATACCCCCAATGCTATCTCATAATCATTTTAAATATCTAGAAGAACGGTAAAACACAATCAATCTAAACTTTTAAGATTTGCTAGTAATAGAGATTCAGAAGACAAATGCCCACTCTTGATAAACATAATGATCAATCATCACCTCATTCAATGAAAAATGACAAGTCAATTAATGCTTATAATTTCAAACCCACAAATGATGTAAGGGGTCCTGAAAATTGGTTTTAATCATAATGCATTGAGTAAGATGTTGGGGTCTGGGCTTTAGAAAGTGTACATATATACTATAAGGGGTGCAATCGTAGTTCATGAACCCCCCACCCCCCAAAAAAAAAAAAAAAATTGAATCAAACAAATGTCATGACAGTCACATTGAAACAAACAATCATCAACGTCCACAGATTTTGGGGGCTTATTTCATGTTTAGGGTTAGCTTCATCAATTCGGGGGTTTTTGTCTGTTGAAGGTTCGATTCAGCATTTTGGGGATTTTATTTTTTAGGGTTCATCATCAACCAAGAAACGACGTCGTGCTCTACTTTCCAAAGCTGGGAACCTATTTGCACAAAACGTCGTCGTTTGCCCATCCAAGATGTAAACCGTCCAAGCCCCGTCATCACACTAACGTGCCACATTGGCACCGTTAGTTTGACCGTGACGGAGGAGTTGACAGAAGGATTAACGTGACCCTTTTTTTGTAATTTTAGGGATCAATTTGGTCCTTTTTTATTGCGAAGGACTAAAATGGATTTCGTGGATATTGTCAGGGACCAAAAAGGGTGTTTACTCAAAAATAAAATTCTTATCCTTGCTCCTTGACGGACCTGACAATTTTTATGATTGGGAAAAAATAAAATATTAAATATCAATTTATCCAGTAATATTTTGTCCTATTAAATAACTTTTTTTTAACTTTACTAGCAACTACTTTCTCATCATTTTCTCAATAATTATATTTATCCAGTAAAAAAACAAAATTCTCTACCAAACATCCGTTATAAAACATCAAAGGTTGTTTCGAGACAAGCAAATTGAGCTGATACAAAATTGGCGGGTTCATATTTCAGTCGGTCATCAAGCAAAATTCAAAACTTTGGTTTTTAAGTGGGGCAGTTACTACCAATGTTATTAGAATCGGACCGGTCATTGACCCGGTCGAGGTGCCGGATCATTGGGTCAATGGTTCAACCGGTGGGTCACGGGTTGAACCGCATGAACTGGATATATATATAAATTTATATTTTATACTGAATTATATAATAAATATTTTAAATGGTGCTAATGCTAACTAAATAATAACTTGATGTAGTTTAGTGGTATTTGTTATGTTGCACAACCTCAATGGAAGGGGTTCGAACCCCATTACAAGCAAATTTTTGAAATAATTCTCTTAACTTAATAGTTATATAATAAATATATTAAATGGTGTATATTATTCAATCAGTGATGGTGGCTTAGTGGTATGAGAAGGCGCTCCTCACACCAATGAGCAGGGTTCGAATTCCACCTGTAACCCGACCGGTTGATGGGTCGGTTTTCGGGCCAAAGTCCTGTTTTTATAACACTGGTTACTACGGTCTAAATAAGGGATAATTTTTTTTTTTACGTTTATTTTCTCTATCAATCTCTAATATAGTTAAATTAGAATTTTATGAAATATTTGATAGGAGGGATTTTTTAAGATTTCTGAAAAAAGTGATGATGGTAATTTTATTTACCATATTTGGTATAAGAATTCTGGAAAAAAATTCGGTAATTAAATTTTTTTGGATTTTATTTTGTGCATAATTTTTCTTCTAAAATGTCATTCAAAAATACCACCAAATGGGTGATATTCTTAAAATTCAGGTGTTGGGAAAATTTTATACTTTTTTGAGACAAAATTCTTGTAATAATTTAGCCTATCAAATAATTTTTTTTATTATATTTTCGAGAAAGTGACTTTCCCACAATATTTTGAAAATTATGATTTATAGACACAAAAAATTTATCCTCTACCAAATGTCCCCTTAAGAAAAAAATAAATGATAAAAGTTAACTAATATTCTCATTTAACGATATTAGAAAATAATAAATAAATTAGACATAAAAAAAGAAAAAAAATGTTTGTCTTTTTAAATGACACAACTTATATCATTTCACTCTCACAAAGAGATTGGATTCACGCTTTTTTTGTCCACTCTCTCTCCATCTCTATCTATCTCTTTTCTCTAAAATGACATAACTTTATCTCTTTTAAAATCACATCTAATTTTCCAAAAAAAATGCATAGAATAATCTATCCCCTCCAATCAATATGAAAGTTATCGGTTCCAATGTAAGCTTGGAAACTGAAAAAGAAGAAAATATAAATTAGGGTTTTATAAGAGTTATGTTGTAGGAAAAGTGATTGTGTAATGTTATAGAGATTCGTTTTGCGTGCCGTAATTTCTTTTTTTTCTTTTTTCTTCAAAAAGTGTGGGCCCCACAAAATGTTGTGTGTGTAGGAAAGTTTGTTGTGTCATGTTAAATGACAAATGCAAACCCCTATAAATTAAGGAAAAATATTTTCTCATGTTGTATAAGAATTCAATTGTTATGTTATGACTTTTCGATCTGCGTACAAATTTTTTCTTTTCTTTTTTATTTTTTTGATAAATATAAGGGCCACCATTAGTTGAGTCACAAAAATTCAATTCTCATGCAACATAAAAAAATTAAACCCCATAAATTAAATTGATATCAACAAAAACGTTACCATTAAAATAAAACAATTAGCTTCAATCAATTAAAATTCTTGTATGTTTTGAAAGAAAAATGTTTCCTTTTTTTTTTTGAGTTACCCAACCCTAATTATCTCTTTGAGACGAGTTGGCTCCCTCCGGTATCCCCACGAACTTCGACTCTTTAAGCCGACTATGTGACTAATCCAGAGTGCGGGGGAACAGTGATGGCTAGAAAAATGTTTCCTTCTTCCATAAAAATACACAATATTAATTAGATGAGTATACTTATTGAAGAGGTGGGCACCAATTCTTTGTTTTTTGTGGCTCATAAGGCACGTGGTCCAGTCGTGTCAGTTTACCATTGAAAGGTGGGCACTATTTCTAGGTATTGTGTTGCATTCATAATGCATTTATTCAGTGTTTTGAAGGGGTTTAATCAGCATTGACCAAAAATTTATATAAAAAAAAAGTAAATCGTGACCATGAATAATTTTTAGAGAGAGGTTACGTTCACAATTTTTTTTTTATAAACTTATGAATTATATTAAGTTTGATTAGTCGGACTTCAATTAAAAGTGTTTGACTGGTTAGATTTAATGTTGTTAGTAAAAAAAAAAAATTGTCAATATAATCTTTCACTAATTTTTATATTTTATATTTCTATAAAAAAATTGATTAGTAGTTTGTTTTCAACATATTTTTTTTAAACAATTTATTTAACATGCTATTTATTCTTAAGTTACGTTTTATACTAGTTTAAAAATTTATAATTACATATTTGATTTAATTTTTTAAATTTTCAATATCATAAAATAGACAAAAATTATAAAATGAAAGTTTTTGTTCAAATTAGATTCAAAACTTCATAAATTTAAGGTTTTATTAATCTTATGCAATAGGAGAAAATTTTCTCATGCGAGACTTATTTTAGAGCTCACGACCCATGAAACATTGGGTGAGACTGAGGAGAGAGATTAAAGAGAGAGTGAAAAAGAGAGAAAAAAAAATAAAAAAAATTCACCTGTCACTTATTTAATGGAAGGACCACCATGGTCAAGGAGCATATTAAAGATTTTCTTCTCATACAATAGAGATAATCATGTGTGGGACCTATCCATTATAGAAAAAGAAAAAATAAAAAAATAACACGAAAATTGATATATGTACAAGATAAAAAACTTCTCTCATACAATATAAGAGTATATTTTTCCTAAATTTAAACCAAACATCTTAAAGAGTCTTTTTCTAATGACACGAATGATCTCACATGTGCCATTGAGTTACTATTAAAGAGCTGGAGGCCTACGTATGTGGGACCAACTTCAAATGGTAAAAAGTAAAAAGCTGAGTCGGACATATTAAATATACGTATCTAGATAAGGAAATGATGTATGTGATCAATTTCTGTTTGTTTTTTCTGATGTTATTTTAGATAATTTTATCTAATGTTCATTAAAACGACGTCTTTTTGGGATAGAAATAATGATATTTTTGTAATTTTAATTTATTTAAGGGTTATAATAGTATTTATCACTCTAATTTTTTAATTTTTTAACCTCAAAACGACATCGTTTCGATGAACATCAGATAAAATTATTTAAAGTGAAACTTTTTTCCCATTTGAAAATTGAACCACTTTCATAATCTTTTCACCTACATGTTAATAGTTTTACAATAAATGAATCGCATGCCTTTATTCTATTTAAAAAAAAAAACCTTCAATTCTAACTTAACGAAATCGAGAAAAATAATTTTAGTGTTATAGAAAATTAGGGATACCGAACAATTGGTACATTATTTATTAATTATGACAAAAAAAATATTTTTATTATTTTTAATTTTATAATAATTTATTCGCTTTTTTAAAGTGGGAATATGTAGTTTACCAAAAAAAAAAAAAAAAGTGGGAATATGTCTCCTCATAAACTGAAAATATGCTTAGAGTTGAGAGTAATATCAAATAATTCATTAAAAGAAGGAAAGAATATATATTATTTCAAATAACACGGGTTATATTATTTCATAGATTCAAAGAGGTAAAACTTATACTTTTATTTTATTTTTATCCTTTTTTTCAGTATGACCATATATTTTTATGTTTATGAAATAATATAACATGTATTATTTAAAATGACATACATTTTTCTCTTAAAAAATTGTATATTTTTAACGGAAAAATATTTTCATTTTAAATGACATAATTCTATGCTAATTTTAGATGAAAAATGTCATTTTAATGCATAATTAATGTTTTTTTATCTTCTATATCCTTTATTTTCTCTCTCTTCCTAATTTTTGAAAGGAAAGAGAATGTAAAAATTATCAAATATATACCAAAATAATGTTTTGTCTTTTCATTTAAAAGGACATAAAATTTTATCGTTTAAAATAACAAATATTTTTTCCATCTTTAATATTGAGAAATTAAAAAGAAAAAAAGAAAAAGAAAATCGTATAGTGTGATAAGAGCTATATAGATTATTGAAAAAATGTTTCTCCTTATAATTTAAATTATCTCCCACAACTGCAAAACAATATTATTTTGAGATTTAGAATAAAAAATAAAAGATATTTTTTTAAAAAAATTACTTTTATATTATAACATGTATTTTACTAAAATATCTTTTATATCCACTGACAGGAGATTAAAAAATTTAGCCCGTAAATATTATCATTGAGTCAAGATAGAGCATATAGGAAAATGTTTTCGATGTAGTCAGAATTGAGCACATCATTCACCAAAATTAGAAAAATACGATTCACATAACTGGGTTTATTCCATTTATTTTTTAAATCGTTAATGTTATATAAGTCTCATATTTAGTAAGAAAACAAATAATATAGAATTACTGAGAAGTTACTCGAGCATATAACTCTGCTGGAAAATCGCACCCAATCTGGTTGTTTTGGATTAGCGCAACACACTTTTTTGTTTGGATAAGCGGAACAAGACACAAGGACAGCGATGCGTTGGACAATGAAGAGGAGACAAATACCTTAAAATCCTTAAACGTTAAGATTATTATGCACGCATAGCCTCTCTAATTATATTATAAAAATGGAAAGTATGCCATTAAGCTTCATGCGTCTTCTTTTGCCTCTGTTCAGGATCTGTTCATAAAACGTAAATAAGAAAAGCAAACAACATAATAATCTTTTTTTACCCAAATATTGGGTGGACAATCAAACATTATAAGACTATGGAATGAAGGAAGGTTGGGGAACACTTATCAATGTTACTAAGTTTTTATCTAAATGCTACGTGAATAGTGTTATTTTTTAATATGCTATTGGGGCAAGTTTGTTTTGTTACCCGGTGCAGCGAGCTCGATTTGATGACGTGTCACGTTTTTAGTAAACACCAAATTTGACGTTTTTAGTAAACACCAAATTTGTTAAAAAAGGTAACGAACTTCATACTTTTTTGTAACTTGATACTTGTTATCCAATAGAAATATGATATATCAGCAAATCAAATTCGCTATATCAGATAACGAACTTGCTCCCGATTAAAAAATAACAATATTCACGTTACATTTAAGTAAAAAATTTGACAAAGAGTGAGACTACTAGTGTTCCGAAGATTGGTTGGTTTCCTAGGGACGGTAACAACTACAACCAGCACATTTTGTACTTATCATGGTCAGCAATAACTGTGATTTTTGTTTCCTGAGAAAATGATATTATAATCAACGCATTTATTATAGGTAATAAGGTAAGTGAGTAAACCATGTGTGATTTTCTATATATTTTGAAAAAGAAATGTATCACTTTGCTGTGAATGCTTGCCTGCTTACTTCACCCAAAGAAAGAAAAGATTCTCCACCATATAACTTATTTCTCATTTTCCAATAATGTCAGTTTCTCTCTCTTTCTTTCTCTCACTACTCACTCCTCCTCTCTCTCTCTCTCTCTCTGACTCTCTCTACTGTCTAAAGCAGATAACATAGTAAAGGTTCCTGCAATCCGAAGAGATCTGTTCTTAGCTTTTCTACTGGGCTTTTAAACGCCTTCACTTAGCACTTTTGTCCTTGTGATTTTACCATTTTATCACCCTCTTTGTCTTTTTACTATTATATCACTGATTCACTGTGGAGTTTCCTTCCACTATTCTTCAGGCTCTGCTTGTTTCAGCATGCCAGACTTTGATTTCCTGGGCTGGTTGAAGAATAAATAAGCAAACTTGTCAAAACCCAGGAATAAAAAAAGCATCTTTGAGCTTTAAATTTGATATACTTTTATAAAAGAGCATAAATTTGGTTTTTCTATTGGTCCTGATTGCTGGGTCTCTGATTAACTTGGTTCAGAGTTTATGGAGTTGATGGGGGGTGGAAAATATAGTGGGTGTCTTGTTCTCGTGTTCTTGGCTTCATTGGCTGTGGGTTCAGTGAGTGGGATTGGTGTTAATTGGGGCACACAAGCAACACACCCTTTGCCACCGTCCACGGTGGTGAAAATGCTAAAAGACAATGGTATTCAGAAAGTTAAGCTTTTTGATGCTGATGCCGGTCTTTTAGATGCTCTGAAGAAGTCTGGGATTCAGGTTATGGTGGGTATACCAAATGACATGCTCTATACTCTGGCTAACAGTGTGCAAGCAGCTGAAAAATGGGTTTCCAAGAATGTTTCAGGGCATGTCTCATCTGGGGGAGTAGACATCAGGTAAGCCCTTTTTTTTTGTCTATGTTGTTTGATTTATGTTGAGTTTCAACCTTTGGTTTATGCAGCTCATAGCTTTGGTTATAAATGCATGTATTTAGTGATTCAGCTATGTGATTCTGCATTTCATGTTGTGGAAGCATAGGTTTTGTTAGGTTGCAGTTCCTTTGCAATGTGTTTGGAATCTTTAAAAGGAAGAATTGATTTAACCAAGTCAATTCTATTCAAATGAAATCATGTCAATACATGCTAAAAGATAGAAAAACCAGTTATGTTGTATTCTGTTGGACTGTTAGTAATATACAATCCTTGTAGTTCTCAGTACCAAAATTATGTGCAAGTAATATTACCCCTAATAAAATGTTATGCTTTTATTTCTTCTTTAGTCCAGTGCTTTGGTAAGCCACATTTAGCTTTATCTATTAAGGTTGTCAATGGAGGAATTTAGATCCATATGTCTATCAGATGAATGTCTTTTTCTTTCATTTCCACCAATCCATGCCAAACAACGTCTACAATTATTTTTCTTAAATGTGGTTAATCTTTACACTGTATACTTATCACTTTGTTAATTGAAAAAATAGACTATCCTTATTGCGGCCATCTACGCTTTTCCTGTAGAATGAGTGGTTGTTCTTCTTTGGTCCTTATTTTCCAAAATGAAAGCTTGCAGATAAAGTATTGCACTTTGGCATCCCTGATTTGAATTTGTTAGTAATAGATGATTTAAATTATGTATGTTATCTTCATAGAGTTTCTTTCGTCTGAAATGCATATTTCTGATAATCCTCCTTTTGTTGAAACTAGTCTTGTTTTCAGTTACTGAAACTTGAAATCTAAATTAATTGATTCCTTCATGATCAGTTTATGTCTCTGCTTTCTTGCTTCTTCTTTTTTTTGGAAACATGCTTTCTTGCTTTTAAACCGCTGTTGTTAGCCTTCACTGAATTGATTATAGCCACACAAGAGTAAGATTCAGATATGGTACTAAATTCTTGTCCATTTATATTAAGCTGTTCCCAGTGTTAGATGGAATAAGGACTTAAAAGTAAGACATATGGATTATCAAAACTCATATCAGTATGAGCTGGTAAGAAAACATAAAATGATTATTTACTCTGTTGCATTTGTAAAATTAAAAGGTTGAAATGTCTTCCTAATTTTCATGGAGGTTGAGAGTGGTCAGATTGAATTTTCTTTCTAAAGGAGAGGAATCAAGGAAACTTGTGTCTTCTACTTTAGAAATGTTTTGGAACTTTCCCTGAGAAGATCTGAACTCATGTATAATGTTGTGTCTGCTCTTGCAATGCTTTCCCATTTCTTTTTTCTGTTACTACGGATCACAATTTCTTAATTGTCAAATCAATGACAATTCATGTGTGTCAATGTTGCAAGTTGCAACTATCTATATTTTCAATGTTGCAAGTTGCAACTATCTATATTTTCTCAACATTATTTTTTGTAATTATTTCCAGGTATGTGGCAGTGGGAAATGAACCTTTCTTGGCAACTTTTAATGGTACCTTTGAAGCCACAACACTTCCAGCTCTTCAAAATATCCAATCAGCTCTTGTAAAAGCTGGTTTGGGCAATCAAGTTAGAGTCACTTGCCCTTTGAATGCCGATGTGTATCAGAGCTCATCAGAAAAACCTTCAGACGGCGACTTCAGGCCAGACATCCATGATCTCATGCTGCAAATTGTCAAGTTCTTGAGCCAGAATAATGCTCCATTTACTGTTAACATCTATCCTTTTATCAGCCTTTATTCAGATCCCAATTTTCCTATGGACTATGCCTTTTTCAATGGCTTTCAGTCTCCTATAAATGACAATGGAAAGATCTATGACAATGTCTTTGATGCTAACCATGATACTCTAGTATGGGCATTGCAGAAGAATGGTTTTGCTAACTTGCCTATAATTGTAGGAGAAATTGGGTGGCCTACAGATGGAGACATAAATGGAAATCTTCAATATGCACAACGTTTTAACCAAGGCTTTATGTCTCGCTTTATCGCTGGCAAGGGGACCCCAATGAGACCTGGTCCTCTGGATGCTTACTTGTTTAGCCTGATAGATGAAGATGCCAAAAGCATTCAGCCAGGTAATTTTGAACGTCATTGGGGGATGTTTTACTTTGATGGACAACCCAAATACCAGCTTAACATTGGATCAAGAACCAATGGCTTAGTAGCTGCTACTGGTGTAACACATCTGCCCAAAAAGTGGTGTATTTTGAAACCTTCTGCAAACCTTAATAGTGATCAAGTGGCACCAAGTGTGTCCTATGCTTGTCAAAATGCAGATTGCACTAGTCTTGGGTATGGAACTTCATGTGGAAATTTAGATGCTGCTGGTAATATTTCTTATGCATTTAATAGCTACTACCAGGTGACTGACCAGGTTGATGGTTCATGCAAATTCCCTGGCCTTTCTGTTGTCACTGACAGAGATCCTTCAGTTGGCGATTGCAAATTCAGAATCATGATTCAAACAGATTCTGCTGGCCTATATGGGAGTGGGAGAATTGGGTCTCTTAGAATATTGCTCTTTGTATTTTTGTTTTTCACTCTTATGTAATCTTAGTCTAAAGATTCTAGCTTTTAAATTTATTTTTGGAGAATGTAAACTGTGTATTTAATTTTTTATATTCAACATGTGGGATGGAGCCAATGGAAGATTAAGCTTGTCTTCAACAAAAATGAGCCGGGTTGGCTCGTAATCCCGTCGGGTTGGCTCGTAATCCTGTTGGGTTGGCTCGGTTGGGTTGACATAAATGAGTTGCCAACCCGAGTCAATCCGGACAAAAACTAGTCAGGCCGCGGGTCAAACGGGCCAGCTCGTGGGTTGAGTTTTTTTTTTTTTTAATTAAAAATAGGGAAAAGTGTGTATAATTTTAAAGGATGTAAAGTTGTGTCATTTTAAGAGAGAGAAAGAGATAGATAAAGGAGGAGAGAGAGTTGACAAAAAAAATAAAGGTGTGGGTCCCACCTCTTTGTGAGAGTGAAATGATGTAAGTTGTGTAATTTTAAATGATAGACATTTTCCCCTTAAAAATAATATCACAAACTATCCTATTCTCACTTTCTTTCATTGTCCTCTCTCTTTCTCTTTCTCGGATTCCTTTTTTTTTTTTTCTTCGCTGGTCTTCGCTGCTACCCAGTTTTCTACCCGTTCTTTCTTTTCTTTATATTTTGGTTTTCTTTCTCCAGACGTATGATGCTTACTGTTTTATGGTTGGTGTTTAGGAATACCAATGTAATTTTTATTTTTTTCCGTAATCACGTTGCTTCAGCATATGGATCTAGAATTCTAGATACCTGGTTTTTCTTCCCTAGAACATTAAATTTGCTTACGCTGCCTCTACGTCTGGAATGGCGGTCTCTTGGCAGGTTGCAGGTGCTTGCTTTCAATAAATGCACTTAATGATTCACACACTGGTTGGCATTGTCTTAATGTGATTTTTTTGCTTTAGAGTTTGCACAGTTCTCAGATTCAAGTTTTCAGATTCAATCCGCTGACAATATTTTGAGCTAATCCGTGAGCTTTTTTCGAGCCAACACGCGGGCTTATTTTTTAGCCAACCCTAACCCCGCTCGGGTCGGGCTGAGTTGAGTTTTTTGGCTCGTTTTTTTTTTTTCGAGTCAATCCTAACCCGGTTCATTTTTTTCGGATTAAATACGAGTTGAGCCGGGTTGGCCCATTTTGACAACCTATTGAAGACCCCAAGAACCTACTTCGCTCTGTTCAAGAGTTGAAAACATTTCCTTAAATTCTGGATTCCACAGTACAAGTATCTCATGAAAGCATAAAGTAAAAAAAAAAAAACTGTTGATAACATTCCCTTAAAATCGGATTCCAGTGTCTAGCTATAAGGTGAATCTGGGAACAATATTTTATACGTAAGAAGTTGAAGGCATTAAACTATTCAACAGTCAAATGTAATTAATTCATGGATTTTACAAAACTTATGTTATAAGAAAAATGATTGTGTAATATTATAGAGATTTGTTTTACGTGTCGTAATATTCTTTTTCTTTTTTTTCTTCAAAAAGTGTAGGCCCCACAAAATATTGTGTGTAGAAAAATTTGTTGTGTCATGTTAAATGATAAATGCAAACCCCTTAATTCATATATTCTCGAGATATTTTTTTTTTATGTTTAGTTTCTACACAGAAATATATCATACTTATGATATAATTTACAAAAAAAAAAAAAAAACCTCCAAACCAAAATAATAATTTATATCATACTTATGCATACACGAATCTGTAAAATAAATAAGTGTACAAAAAATTAGGTAGGAAGAAATTAGTGGAATAAGGCTATCAAAAAAAGGGAAGTGCAGATAAAAAAAGTGGGATAAATTTTCTAAATTAATCTTGTAATCTGGTAATTAATTTTTTTTTTTAAAATGAAATGCTCTGCATTATTTACTTAACAGTACATATAATAATAACATACTAGAAATTAGAGTTCGCTTTTTTTGCGGTTACTACAGATAAGTTATATGCAGTAATAGCAATACGACGTCGTTTTAGAGCAGAAATCATGATATTTTTGTAATTTTAATTTATTTCAGGGTTATAATAGTCTTTATATTTATAAATTTTTTAAGATTTCAATATCTAAACAGTGTCGTTTTGAGAACAAATGCAGATAACTTATCTGCGAAACATTTTTCCCTAAAAATTAATGGTAAAGATGAATAAATTCTTTTATGGCAAATCAATTATGCTTCCAATTCCAGCTTTAACCTTCTCACTCTATCAAATACCATGGGCTCTTTCAAACCGACATAATTAAATAACGAAGCTATAAGCAAATCCACAGGCAGTGTCGTATATTAATTATGATGAATCTCTCAAGTTCTTTCGTGTCCCTTGCAGCCATGTAGCCAAACTTACGTCATCTCACATAGCTTGCTCCATGCCATTATTTAACTGCCCAAAAACTAAAGTATGAAATATATCTACATTTTAAAAAAATGGATCAACCTAGTACTATAGCATTCCCGCAATATGTAGGGGCTAGAAAAGGAACATACCCATTGTGTGGGTCAAGATGGTCATACTGCCTCCTCAAGCTCATATAAACCTTTAGTGTTGGAGCACTATTCTTTTTTTATCACATAGATAGTGATCACTCCCTTACAAACTTATTGTCATATAAAATAACGGGGAAAGTAATTTTTATGTGACTGCAGAAGGGAAAAAGTGCAGCAACACTTACTTTTATCAGGATACGCGTCCGAATCCTGGTTTTTTTTTTTTTTTTTTGATAGAATCCGCATGTGTATCTTAAGATCCGCACGTGTATCCTAGTGTTAAAAATTTGCTGCAACTTTTCTCATCAGCAGTCACATGAGAAACGACGGACCCTAAAATAATTATAATTTACAAGAAATAAATACACTTGTAATTTTGCTCTCTTACAAAAATTTCTGGCTCCACCATTATACGTTATATTGAAAAATTAGAAAAATGCCATATTTACTCTACAGCAGCATAAAGTGTAGAGGTACACAATATTCAAGACATCAAAATCCTACTAAAAATTAGGTGTGAGCGAGGGATTTTGTTTTTGAGTACTATAGAAGTACCTAATTCGGAGGATCTTCTTTTCTAAATAAGAAAAGTTTTATCCCATTTAAATATATATATATATATATATATATATATATATATATATATATATATATATTTATTTCCCTTTTAAGTCCTAATTTTTTATCCCTATTTGGAAAGGATGTTTGTACTACTACAGTACCGAAAAAGCACTTGAGAGCAACAGGCACCATAGAAAAGGCTGAATCATTCCAAGTAAGAGATTAAGATTGTACCGGATTATAGAATTTTATTGACTTCAAAATGTATATTAAAAGTATATTCATAACCTTGAGTTTATTCACTTACATTTCTGGACTTGGAAATTTACATTGTTGAGGACACTTTCATACACGTGTCTAATTTAATTCATTGTGGCATGCAGCAAGTGCTGGCATCACTTAAGATGTTCAAGAAACAATGAGAAAAAAATGTTGAAGTCAATATAAATGAACCATATCGGTGAAATTACTTCATTTTGGTATTCATTTCAAGCTTCCGAATGTAGTCTCTAGATCTTATATCAGCCTGCAGTTCAAATAGAAGTGTAAGGACTGGATACTTTTGATTTTACATTGATAACCAATAATTGGAATATAGCCAGGGATTCTAAGAAAAAAAATGTTTCCAGCAGAAGTTATATGATGGAAAACCTAGTCATGTAAATAATCTAATCTAAACATGTATAAATCAGCAACTACGGAATCAGTAAATCAGTCTAACTATCAACATTTGACACTGAACTTTTGTAATAAGGATATCAATAAACAATATGCCGCAGCATTTGATGGATCATCAACACAAAACTTTGCAAGAGAAGATTTTCAGATCAAATACTAAATGAAGGAGAACAAGTACAACCCAATACTACTGCTTCCCCAGGTGATACTACCTAGGCTGCATGCAAATTTCCTAGTGAATCCTAAAATACAAAGTGGCCTATTACAATAAACTGGTAAGAACTTCTGAACATGAGAAGAGTTGATATCAGTTTAATAATAGATAAAGGACTAAAAGCATATGGCATATATATTCCATTCATAGGTTTGGTTCATGCATTATTTTTCTTGAACTTTAACTAGTGATGATAGACAGTATGTATTATTCGTCTATATGATAAAAGTATATCTTTACATGCTTTCAATTCACCTGTCTAATTGGCTCAGGCACACGATACTTGCAAGTCATCTGAACAATCGTAATGGCAGTCTGAAGTGATATCCTGTGACCAATTGATATAAATATTGGCTTTATAGATCCCTGTGTAGATCTCATGGCCTGGACAAAAGTTTGGAAAGAAAAGGAGAAAATTAAGCATGCTGAATCAATATATCAATATAAAGTGCATAAACACATGAAACTGCATTTTAGAAGCTTATGTAAGTTTGATCTTGATAACATTTATTAACTTGTTTTTTATGAGTATGGCACAGCCTTTTGCAATGGCATATGCTCACCACTCACCAGGACATCATTATTATAACAAATAAGGACAGGAGCTAGTAATTCAAATTCTTACTGCTCCCCATATATGCCCGGAACAACCCACCAAAGTAATAAAATCTTTAGAAGAGTTTTCTTTGGCTTCAAGAAGTTTGCTCACTCCAGATTGATTAAGACCATCCACATGATGCAACTGAAACATATAAAGCTAAATAATTCAGGTATCTACTCAGTACTTCTTAGTTATTAGCTACAAAATTAACAGATAGAATCGAATCTCTGAATTGATACAGAAGCAAGTGAAATTCTACAAAGGCTCATCAGAATTGTGACACATGAGATATCAAAATAATAATAAATTTGGCTTAATTATAAGAAGAATCAATTAGTAATGCTATCAATACTAACATTCTTTCCAATTCCAATCGTTGGGAGATTGGCCACAACTCCAATATGACAGGCCAGGCCAAAACCTGCAAGAGTTAAAGGTTTAGAAACTTTCCCTGCTAAACACAGGTAGCAGCAAGCTAGAATTATGTGTTAAATCAATTATAAAATAAACATATAACTCAGAAGATCCTAAAATGGCTTGAACTTTCTCAGGACAACTATGCTAGATAAGAAAAACAAATTAACATTGGAATTTGAGTGATCAAAATCCTTTGGATGAGATGTATAAACCATAAAGTATTGCTGAAATGGGATTCATCAATTGGGGTAATTTTCTATCGCGAGTGAAAAATCAGTGCTTACTGCCCTTTCATTTACACTAAGCATCAATTGTATTCAAAGTGGCAAATCGATCAAAATTGACACAACTGCCAACTATTCTATTAAGTATGGAAAATGTCTGATTCAATGACATAACAGTCAACAATAACAAATGGTTCCTCACATTAAAGCTGATATATTTCTATCCAACAAAAGATTGAATAATAATAGGATTATCTTATATCATATTTCATAAAAGCAAAGTAAATTCAAACGTATGACTCTTTTAAGAACAGAAAAAGTTATCATTCTGAAAAATAAAAAATCTAGTGGTTGACTCTTTATGCAAAATGTTCATGTATAAAGAGCACTTGCCTCGGGGATGAAGTATTCCGTTTCCATCAACCATTAACAACTGTTAACAAATATCAAAATAACCTTCTATTCAGACGATGAAAACGTTAAGTACAATACAAAAACATCATAAATAGCTAGATAATCCAAAACAGTTTGCATATCTATGTTTTTTTTTATAAGTTTCATATCTGACTTTTCAATGTGAACCATGAAAAAAGGAGCACGTTTCAAATGCATAAAATTCATTTAAATTTATTTAGTATACAACAATTACCTGAGGGTAAAAAGGATTATCACTCCTTTTCATTTTCTCCAGAATGTCTACAAGAACTGGGGCCTAAAATTATAGTAGCAACCAATATAAGAGCTGAAAAAAGAATATTTTGGACACTAAAAAAAAAAAAGCAAAATAAAAGAGTACTTCTCTGAATGCAAGGAAGCCAGGCACATAAGGGACTTGAAGAGTGACCAAAGAGAAGTCCTGATAGACAACTTGTAAAGTGTGGAAGTCCAATACTACGAGGGTCCCACACGCCATTGATGGATCATCTTTTGAGAAGCTTATATCAACCCCACCAACGTATCTTAATCCTTCCTCTTGTGCTGTGCTTGTTGTGCCTTCGCTGGGTAATTTCCATGTGAAACTATCCTCCGTTATCAGTTTTTCTCTAAGAATATCTTGTTCTCTGAAAAGGGTGACCCAAATATGAACCACATGGGTTAAGGTTTTTTTTTTAAAAAAAGGAAAACTTTGAATTCTGGGAATGTAGATTTTTACACACTTAACGTTATCCAGTTCTGGTGATCTTGCGATGAAGTTGATGAGTCCTGTGACTGTGATTGTTCTTCGGTTTCGGTTAGTTTTTCCATTGCTTGAAATCAGAGTAACCTCAGAAAGTCAGCACCCTCTTGAACTTTCTTATTTTCAGGTTTGGTTCTATGCATTTTAGGTTGCCTTTGTTATAAGAATTCTCAAGAAAGCGAAATTGGGAATATAAACGATTTTATTATGTTTCCAACAAGTATTAAAAAATGTTTTTACGCATTATTAATTCTCAACAAAATATTCTCCTAATTTTTATTTTTAAGAAACAGGAGGATTTGTGTTTTTTTAGTATAAAAATGAAAGGCATTTTCAATAAAAAAGTTTTTTCTTTTTAACGAAAAACAAATTGTAAATATAATTTTCTTCCTATTATCAACTTTTGTTTTGGATATGTCCACCCAAAATTAAATCAATATACTCGCAAGTATCTATGAGAAAGATATCATGAGAAACAACATATCACCGTGCATAAAGGGAAAACAGCATTGTCAGAGCGTGGAGTGTTTGCATAGTAATAACTAAGAGTAAATGAGTTGAAAATGTGTGCCTGATGCGTAGGATTCTAATTCTACCAGGATTGTTGTGGAGTCTTATCTTTCTAGTGATATGATAAGGTTGGTGTAATCCTTATATCTGTTAACTGTTTGGCTGTTGTGTTGTTATCCATTAGAAGTGGTAATAAGGGTTAAATCCACACGGGTCAACCCGCCAACCTGTTAAAACGGGGCAAGTTGGGTTACATATTTCAACTCGCCCCGACAAGTTGTGTCAAAATGGGTTAGAATGGGTTGGGGCGGGTTAACCCGCAGGTTAAATAATTTTTTAAATTTAAAATTATAAAAAAAATATATTATCTAATTATTAGTAACCATTTGTTTTTTTGTAACTTTTGAAAGTTGAAACTCTAAGACCTCCTTAGTCGTCCAGCCCTCCGCTCTGCCTCCTTCTTTGGATTTCTTTCTCTCACTCTTGCTAAGTTGCTCTCTCAATCTCTCTTCATCTAGTATTAAGCTAGCTTTGGTTTGTGTTATCATGTTGTGAATCTATTATACAGTTCAAACGACATTTCTTCTGTTTATCGCCGACATCTGCCATTTCTACGCAACCGGTTTCCCTCTTCGTCGACGCTGACGAAGGATCTTAGCATTATTGTCCTTAGAGGTAATGTTTTCTGTTTAACTTTACTCAGTAGAAAACTGCAACATGAGTTTAACTTCGACTGTGAGAAATGAGAAACTATTTTGATGTCACTTTTTAATTAAAATGATAGACCTCTCACTTGGATTAAAATGATAACCATTAACCTTTTCTGCTTGTTTTCATTGTTTTATGCTTCTATAATTCTATTCTATTTTATTGAAATTATACTAATTATTTTGTTGCAAGCTTCCATTATGGTTTTCTTATCCTTTCTCAAAAAAAATTATGATTTTTTTAATTAGTATTTTGGCGGGTCAACCCCCAAACCCACCTCAAAACGAGGTGAATTGATATTTTCAACCCACAATCCATTGGCAGGTCAACCCGTCCTGCCCTATTTTTGGCAGATTGAAGGTGGGGCGGATTGACCCATTTTTCAACCTATAGGGCCCATGGGTTGGATCCATAACAATTGCTCCCTAGCTCGCCAATCTGAGTGTTTGGGCTGATGGGTGCCGTTTAGGTCCATTTTTTATAATGTCGTGTCTGTATTTATGACCCATCTCTGCTAGTTTCCTCGTTTATCTTGAGTTCATTCTGCGTCCCTGCTTTGAGAATGCCTTCTGTGTGACATAAGGTCGACCATGACCGACATGGTCTTTGATAACCTCATCCAATGTTTCTAGAGACGATTGCCCGACCCGTAGGTTAGTCTGGGCGTTATAGACCTGACTAATCAGCTCGGCCTTGACGCCCTGACTCGTAGGTCGACCTTGATGTCCAAATAACTATCATAATGCATTCTTGTCGTTGTATTCGAGCTGGCTTGCACAATTCGACGTTGGAGTCCGCCTTAAGCAAGTCATCCCATTATGGTGACCTATGGTTTTTCCCTTGATTGCTTTGATGATTATGACTTTCCACGTGTCACGCCCTAATTAGTTAGACATGCATCGAGAAACGTGTGTTACCTTCGTATTTTGTATAACATGATGGGTTGTTCATCGTCTGCGTCACTAATACTTTCTTATTGATTAAAATCTCATTTTTGCCCCTGACTTGTAATCTTCGTGCTTGAAAATATTTTTGCTCTTTTCCTTATCCATTTATACATTTCCTTATTTTGGACATTTGTGCATTTCTGAAAGATTTCACACACTTCTTGCTCTCTTTCTTTTTCCCATCATTTCTGGGTTTGCTACGTTCGTTCGGAGCTTATCTATCTTTTTCTCAACTTTAATGCTCAGCTTGATAAAAAGTTCCATGGATGTCTTGGCTAGTTTGCATCCTAACATACCTTACTCTTGAACCAGATCTAGGGTGTACATTTTCTAAGAGATTGTGATTCCTATCTTGCTAAGAGATACTTTCCTAATAAGGAAATACCTTAGGGCTAGCTCTAAGATCCTTGGTTTCACACTAATTTATTAGATATTCATTTAAGGAATCTAACTCCTCATCATCACCACATTTATCAATTATGTCATCTACATCTACCGCAAGAATATAACCTTATCATCCTTATAGTATTTATGGAATAAAGTGTGATTGGTCTTGGTTTGTGAGAAACTTTTTACTTTGACAACTTGATTGAATTTTTCAAACCATTCTTTAAGGAACTATTTGAACTCATGGAGAGACTTATTTAACTTACACACTAGATCATCTTTTTTTCTTCCATAATTGGGTGGAGGATCCACTTTGACTTTCTCATGTAAGTCAATATTCAAGAAAACATTATTCACATATGGTTATTATAGGGGCCAAACAACGTTGGTTGTAACACCCCGTATATATCCGGAATGCTATCATACGATCGTATTAAGCTGCACTTAATTAAAAATTCGGAATATCTTTTTCTTTTCAATTATGAAGTCATTATCATTACCAACTTGCTTATTAATCAATTAATAAAACATCGCTTGTATGCAATTGCAATAAAACAACTAACTGAAATACCTCATTAAATAAAATAACATAAGTATGTCTCTAGTCACATAGCTACAACACGTAGACCGGACCATCTAGCAGTTTATACAAATCAACTCAAAAGTACTAACAACATGGTAGCATGGACAACTCCCATGCTCACCCTAAATAAGGCAACAAAGCCCAACATAAGTCTCAACTCAACAGCAACATAAAGATAAGGGCGGAAAACATAAACAACATCCAATCCAGTCATGCCAGCATAATATGAACAGCACAAAACATCAACTAAGCTCTGGCCTCCTGCCACCAGAGACATCAGTCCCCATACTACCTGAACCTAAAATAAGCATTCCCCAAACGTGAGGTGAGATCTCTAAACAAGAAATCTTAGTAAGGCAAGGGGTCCTCAAGGATCTTCCACCCCAAGCTCACTTACATGTGCAATATAAGTTCAAAAGCAGTTTATTATCATCAGTTCTAAAATAGTGCAATGCAGCAGATAATCATGTCATGTGTGTTAATTCTATTCTACTGGCCAGAGAAATACAGGATTTATATACGTATAATACCCACACATAGTGCAAGACGTCACTTGCATCCACCCTGGATCACCGTCTTGTATGACGCCACATACTCAGGCTTATCGTCAAGATGGAACAACACATGCATATTAAAAGCCATTACACATAAAGCTCAACATCATTTCAAATATTCAAAGCATGTAACACAACATGCATATAACCATACCCCCATGGGACATGGTGGAACCACAACATGGCTAAACCGAGGACGCGAAAGCTTACCTTGCAAGCTAACTATCCAAGCCAATAGTCCGTACAAGCTCAGGACCCACAAACAGCACAATCACAATCTGTTTAGATGAGAAATATCATCAATAACCATACTTTAAAGGTTCGTTTCATTATGACAACATTTCCTTATTTGATTACGTCTTTTCTAGATCATAATTATCAAGCACTAAGTCCTTTAATTATAGGTATCACTGTTTCCCAACAGTAACACCAACTTCCTAGGCCATCAAGCCCACATGAGAACTGTCCCACGCACAACAAACGGATTTTTGGTCATTTTCACAGGTGGTAATCGATTGTCAAGGGCTGGTAATCGATTACTGCACATGGTAATCGATTACCACACATGGTAACCGATTACCAATCAAAAGTAATTGATTACCACGCGGGCAGAACAACATTATGCAGATTTTTTCTGCATAATCCGAAGCCAAATTGCCACCCCATGACCCAAGGTTCGGTTTTGACCTAAAATAGAAGTTCAAAACCATATTTTAGACTTAGATTAACAACCTTAAGCTTGAATGATTAAAGTTAACTCATTTCATAACCAAAAACAAGCCATTAACAAGGAAATTCAAAGGAAAGTTCAAGGTATACCAAAGGAGGTTCAAACTCAGCAAAAAGAAGGCTCTTGGAGCTCTCCAACAAGGCTCAAAGATTCTGACTTTGCAAGAGCACGAAAATACAACACAAGGTTGGACCTTTCTCTTCAAAGATGGCTCTTTTAAGCGCCAAATGCCATAACCATGGCTTTCCCAAAGAACACTCACCAACTCAGCCCACTAACACCCAAAAACCAGAAGTTAAAGTCAACAAATTAGGATCTTTAACTCACACAAGGCTTGTCCTCACAATACTCAACCATTTTGGTGAAGGAACCATGACCAAAGGTGATCACTTTGGTGAAATAAGTGAAGGAGAAGCTATGGAGTGGAGAAGGGAAGGTGGCAGCTGAAAGGAACTAGAAAAATCACGTAGCACACTGTAATTCTGACCTAGGGCTTTGTGCCAAAGCTTATATAGACCCACTTAAACATTAAACACATAGATAAAACATTAATTGCTACACTTAGCATTTTAATCCCAAACTCAGTATTCATAACCTACTCAATTTTACAAGAATTATCATATTTTTATTATATTTTTCGGAGCACCTTTCCAGTACGCGCTTTTCATAGCCAGTACCAGTTTCTGGCACCAGTT